AGGTGCGCACCACTACACCTGGCTGATTTTTGTATTTTTAGTACAGACGGGGGTTTCACCATGTTGGTCAAGCTGGTCTCAAACTCCTGACCTCAGGTGATCCACCTGCCTCGACCTCCCAAAGTGCTGAGACTACAGGCATGAGCCACCTCGCCTGGCCCTCTCCTAGTTAATATTAGGTCATTAGTGACAAAACACTGAAAATAACAGCAGCTTTAAAGGAGGTCAACATTTATTCCTCCCTCACATAGACACAGCCCATGCAGGACTTGCATGACAACACTGTGATCAGCAGGAAACCAGGCTGCTTTGATCTTGCCCACCATCCCCAAAATGTGGCTTCCACCATCCCCAAAATGTGGCTTCCATCTTGTGGCTCATGCTCCAGCCATCATATCTACACTCTTGCCAGCAGGAAAAAGAGAGCCCTTGCCTTTAAGGACACTTCCTAGAAGTTGCACAAGACATTTCTGCCTTTATTTCCATGGCTAGAACTTGGACACATTATTCTACTGCAAGGGAAGTGAAGAAATGTCATTTTTGTTCCAGGAGGTAATTTACTCTGCTGAAATTCACAGACTCTACTACCATAGAAGATGAGAGAATGGCTATTAGAGGACAAAGACAGTCTTAGCCACACTGTTTCTGACATTTTCAACCTCTCTTGCTCAATTTGAAAATCCCATCAAGATTCTATCATTAAAAGTCAAAATGAGGCAAATCAACACAAAACAAATGCAAGCTTCTTACTAGACCTAACCCAATATCCTTCACTACCAGTGTTTCTCTGCTCTGTTTAACAGAGTATCTCGAAAGAATGTCGTGCACATGCTATTCCCATTTCCTTGCATTTTGACCACCACCAATCTATTAAAACGGCTAAGGCACCTTATGACTTCCACATAAATATATCTAAGGGGCCCTTTTCAGTCTCTTTCTTCTTGATCTGTCAGCAGAATGGGATGCATTTGATTGTTCTCATAGTCTTTGACACTTTCTTCTCTTGGTTTCTCCGACATCTCAGTCTTAGTTTTTAGATTGTTAAAGCAAACTAAATATGGCCTGAGAAAGATTCCATACTTCTATATTTGAATCATCATTGACAAATCGTAACATAGCTTAATAGGCACACAAGATTGAAAACCTAATTTAAGACTATGCATCTGTAATGATAGCTGAGTCTTGGCCAATCCCAGCAGTCATACTTCAACAACTCATAGACTGCTGAGTGTTCAGACTGTGTTCAAATAAGGCAAAGGCCAACCTGTAACCTATCCAGCTGTTTCTGTACCTCATTTCCGATTTTTGTATATTACTTTACTTTTTTTGTCTATAAATTTGTTCTGACCATGAGGAACCCCTAGAGTCTCTCTGAATCTGTTTGATTCTAGAGGCTGCCTGATTCATGAATCATTCATTGCTCAATTACACTCTTTTAAATTTAATTTGGCTGAAGTTTTTCTTTCAACAACATAAATTTGTCACTAATAAGAGTTTTAATTTTTTTCCAGTTTGATTTTCTGTCTTTTGCATTTTGCTTATGGTAGGTTTTGTAATGTGGATTTTTTTTTTTTTTTTTTAATACTTTAAGTTCTAGGGTACATGTGCATAACGTGCAGGTTTGTTACATATGTATACTTGTGCCATGTTGGTGTGCTGCACCCATCAACTCGTCAGCACCCATCAACTCGTCATTTACATCAGGTATAACTCCCAGTGCAATCCCCCCTCCCCCTCCCCCCTCCCCATGATAGGCCCCGGTGTGTGATGTTCCCCTTCCCGAGTCCAAGTGATCTCATTGTTCAGTTCCCACCTATGAGCGAGAACATGCGGTGTTTGGTTTTCTGTTCTTGCAATAGTTTGCTGAGAATGATGGTTTCCAGCTGCATCCATGTCCCTACAAAGGACACAAACTCCATCCTTTTTTATGGCTGCATAGTATTCCATGGTGTATATGTGCCACATTTTCTTCATCCAGTCTGTCACTGATGGACATTTGGGTTGATTCCAAGTCTTCGCTATTGTGAATAGTGCTGCAATAAACATACATGTGCATTTGTCTTTATAGCAGCATGATTTATAATCCTTTGGGTATATACCCAGTAATGGGATGGCTGGGTCATATGGTACTTTTAGTTCTAGATCCTTGAGGAATCGCCATACTGTTTTCCATAATGGTTGAACTAGTTTACAATCCCACCAACAGTGTAAAAGTGTTCCTATTTCTCCACATCCTCTCCAGCACCTGTTGTTTCCTGACTTTTTAATGATTGCCATTCTAACTGGTGTGAGATGGTATCTCATTGTGGTTTTGATTTGCATTTCTCTGATGGCCAGTGATGGTGAACATTTTTTCACGTGTCTGTTGGCTGTATGAATGTCCTCTTTTGAGAAATGTCTGCTCATATCCTTTGCCCACTTTTTGATGGGGTTGTTTGTTTTTTTCTTGTAAATTTGTTTGAGTCCTTTGTAGGTTCTGGATATTAGCCCTTTGTCAGATGAGTAGATTGCAAAAATTTTCTCCCATTCTGTAGGTTGCCTATTCACTCTGATGGTAGTTTCTTTTGCTGTGCGGAAGCTCTTTAGTTTAATTAGATCCCATTTGTCAATTTTGGCTTTTGTTGCCATTGCTTTTGGTGTTTTAGACTTGAAGTCCTTGCCCATGCCTATGTCCTGAATGGTATTACCTAGATTTTCTTCTAGGGTTTTTATGGTATTAGGTCTAACATTTAAGTCTCTAATCCATCTTGAATTAATTTTCGTATAAGGAGTAAGGAAAGGATCCAGTTTCAGCTTTCTACTTATGGCTAGCCAATTTTCCCAGCACCATTTATTAAATAGGGAATCCTTTCCCCATTTCTTGTTTTTCTCAGGTTTATCAAAGATCAGATGGCTGTAGATGTGTGGTATTATTTCTGAGGACTCTGTTCTGTTCCATTGGTCTATATCTCTGTTTTGGTACCAGTACCATGCTGTTTTGGTTACTGTAACCTTGTAGTATAGTTTGAAGTCAGGTAGCGTGATGCCTCCAGCTTTGTTCTTTTGACTTAGGATTGTCTTGGAGATGTGGGCTCTTTTGTGGTTCCATATGAACTTTAAAGCAGTTTTTTTCCAATTCTGTGAAGAAACTCATTGCTAGCTTGATGGGGATGGCATTGAATCTATGTATATTTAGAAAACCCCATTGTCTCAGCCCAAAATCTCCTTAAGCTGATAAGAAATTTCAGCAAAGTCTCAGGATACAAAATTAATGTGCAAAAATCACAAGCATTCTTATACACCAGTAACAGAAAAACAGAGAGCCAAACCATGAATGAACTTCCATTCACAATTGCTTCAAAGAGAATAAAATACCTAGGATCCAACTTACAAGGGATGTAAAGGACCTCTTCAAGGAGAACTACAAACCACTGCTCAGTGAAATAAAAGAGGACATAAACAAATGGAAGAACATACCATGCTCATGGATAGGAAGAATCAATATCGTGAAAATGGCCATACTGCCCAAGGTAATTTATAGATTCAATGTGGAATTTTTATTTTATATTGTCAAAATCCTGACTTTTCCTTTTATGGGTTATGTGTTGTGTCATACCTAGAAAGACCTTCTATGCTCCAAGAGAAAAATCCTGTGCTTTCTTCTTCTACTTCATTTATTTATTTATTTATTTTTTTTGAGACAGGGTCTCACTCTGTCACCCAGGCTGGAGTGCAGTGGCATGAACTCGGCTCACTGTAACCTCTGGCTCCCAGGTTCAAGTGATTCTCTTGTCTCAGCCTCCCAAGTAGCTGGGACTACGGGCATGGGTTACCATGTCCTACTAATTTTTGTATTTTTAGTAGAGACAGGGTTTTGCCATGTTGCCCAGGCTGGTCTTGAATGCCTAAGCTCAGGCAGTTCGCCCACCTCGGCCTCCCAAAGTGCTAGGATTACGGGCATGAGCCACAGTGTCCAGCCAACTGTGCTTTCTTCTGAAGAAGAAAAAAAAATAGAAATTGTGGCTCACATGGATCTTCATTCAGACTTGAGGTGTCCCACTGGGAAGCTCTGCTGGCCCCAGCTGGTTCCAAGCATCATTTCTTAGAAAATGTTGCAGACGTCACTCCAGAGCAGGGATATGCTCAGAGGTGGGGCTGGGCAGAAACCCTGTTTGAAAGGTCTAAGGGCCACACTGGAATGTAGGGATTCACTTTTTTTTTTTCCTTTTTTTGAGACGGAGTTATGCTCTTGTTGCCCAGGCTAGAGTGCAATAGCAGGATCTCAGCTCACCACAACCTCTGCCTCCCGGGTTCAAGGGATTCTCCTGCCTCAGCCTCCCAAGTAGCTGGGATTACAGGCATGCACCACTGTGCCGGCTAATTTTGTATTTTTAGTAGAGATGGGGTTTCTCCATGTTGGTCAGGCTGGTCTCGAACTCCCAACCTCAGGTGATCCACCAGCCTCGGCCTCCCAAAGTACTGGGATTACAGGCATGAGCCACCTTGCCTGGCCAGGGATTCACTTTTTAAAAAAAAAAACTTTAAATTATTATTATTATTTTTTGAGACAGGGTCTGACTCTCTGTTGCCCAAGCTGGAGTCCAGTGGCATCATCTTGGCTCACTGCAACCTCCACCTCCTAGGCTCAAGCCATCCTCCCATCTCAACCTCCCGAGTAGCTGGGATTACAGGCATGTGCCACCATGCCCAGATATTTTTTTTTTTTTTTTAAATAGAAAGAGGGCTTCACCATGTTGCCCAGGCTGGTCTTGAATTCTGAGTTCAAATTATCTGCCTGCCTTGGCCTCCTAAGGTGCTGGGATTACAGGTGTGAGCTACCACACCCAGCTGCGATTCACTTTTGACCAAGAGAAAAAACTTAAGACGAATCCAGTTGTCCATAAAGTGACAAGGAATATCTGCTGCACATTTGAGGATCTTCTGATCAACTTAATACAGAATCTGGCATCTTTACATCTTCTTAGGGCCAGATGACCATAGCCACTCCCAGCCTCAGATACTTTTTTTTTTTTTCCATGTAACTCTTTTAATAAATAAAGCATATTCATGGCTTAGATTTTAAATCACATTTACAGATGAGGGAAAACTTCTAGGCCTAAACAGGTAACAGTAAAGCGACTACTGCTGGAAGGAGTGGTGCGCCACATGCACCTTAAGCCTCAACAGTGGGGACTGCAGGGCCAAACACCAAACACATCACCTCTAGGCCAGACGGAGAGTGGAGACCCAGGAAGCCCATGTGACCACCATCTGCCCCTTCCCCTAGTGCTGGAGAACCAACTGGACACTGTGTTACTTTCAGATGAACTGGAGGTGGGTCCTGATCATATTACATGAAGCTTTCCACCACTGTGAACAATTAGGCAAGGCATGAGTGACAAGAGGAGCATCACTGATAAATACAGAGCAATACTGGGGCAGTAAAGAGGAAGCTACAGAGACATTCGTGTTTCTTCAAATATCAGAAGCTTCCACATCATAGCAGGAGAGCTGAGGATGAGCTCCACCTCCTGAAGGCTTAGTCCAAAAACTTCCTGTTGGCATTTGCACCAAACAAGGCTCCCCGGACTTCTGGCGTCATCTGCTGGGCTATGAGATCCAGCCGGCTTTCCAGGGTGTTGGAAACCTTTATTTTACGATCCCCATTATAGATCTCAACTCCACCAGCTATGTCTTCAGGCAGGTAGGACTCCTGGTCAATTTGGACATCAACATCGTTTTTGGTGGCAATTTTGTACATAGGGATTGCCTTCTGCACTGCAGCCTTTACCAGAGGGAAATCTTGTTTCCTGCAATGAACAATTGTTCGGGGCTCCAGCAACTGGTACAAACCCTGGAGAACCAGTCCATCCAGCAGCGCTTGGTACCTGGTTGTATCTTTTACCACCTTGCTGAGTCTCTGTTTTGCTTCATTTAGTAGGTCTGTGATAAGGTCATCTCTCGCTCTGAGGACTTTGAGTCTCGCTTAATTCATCAAATTGGACATCTGGATTTTCTTCTGCTGCTCATTCTGTTTCTCTTTCTTCTCATAATATTCCATAATCTTTAGTCTTTGGGTTTGCACAAGCCAACCTTTCTCTATGTTGAACTCTTCTTCTGCCTTTGCATCTATTTCTTCTGCTTTCTCATTGGCTTCTTGTTCAATGAAAGCCATCATATGCTTTATCTGCTTTTGCACGTCAGCATCGCTGAGAGTCATGGTGAGAGCAATGCTAGGTCGGTGAGCAGCAGGCTCCAGTTTACGTTTAAAGGGTGAGGGGAGATGAATGGGCAAAGGGAAGCCCTGTGCAGATCTCGGTTTCCTTTCTCAGATACTTTTAATATATTGATGAATTTCAGATTTATATTTTCATTTCATGCCTCTCTTCTGAGCTCAGACATCGCTAACTTAGCTATGTCCAAAATGGAACTTTCGATCTTTCATTCTGATTTTGACACTGCTCCAGTCTTTCCTAACTAGGGATAGGTGCCTTGGCATACCAGACACTTGGAGTCATTAAATTTTTTTAAAAAAATTTTTTTAAATTCTTTTTTTTCTTTAAACCATTTTTTCTTTTCTTTTCTTTTTTTTTTTTTTGTTAGGTAGGGTCTTGCTGTCTTTCCCAGACTGGTCTCAAACTCCTGGGCACAAGGGATCCTCCTGCCTCAGCCTCCTGAGTAGCTAGGACTACAGGCACACACCACTGCACCCAGCTCTTGGAGTCATCTTTGACACTTCATCTCCCTTTACCCCTACATTTTATTAATTATCAAGTCATGTCTGTTTCTTCTCTAAAACCTATCCTAAATCTTACCTCTGATCACCTCTGTAGCTATTGTCTTAGCCTAAGTTACTACCATCTCTATCTTAGATTTCTACAAGTTATCCTAACTGGTTTCCCCTGCTTTCACCATTGCCCCCAACCCCACAGTCGATTTCCCATAGCCCACTCTTCTCTTTTGAAATTGTATATCAGATTGCTTCATTCCCTTGATGAAAATTAATTAATTAATTCTACAAATTAGTATAGAGATCTACAGTGCTCCAGGCACTGTTCCAGGTATTGAGGGATACATTAGTGATGGGGATACATCAATGTTTTGAAACTAAGTATTCAAAAATCCCTGCTGTCATAGAGTTTACAAAACAGCAAACAGTGCCATGAAGGAAAATTAACAATGAAAGGGGTTGGGGAGAGCTGGGGTGGGTGTGCAATTTGAAGCAGGGTGATTATGGGATGTCTCATTAAGAAGACTATATTTGGATGGCCAGGTGCGGTAGCTCACACCTGTAATCCCAGCACTTTGAGAGGCTGAGGCCGGTGGATCACAAGGTCAGGAGTTCAAGACCAGCCTGCCCAAGATGGTGAAGCCCCGTCTCTACTAAAAATACAAAAAATTACCCGGGTGTGGTGGTGGGTGCTTGTAATCCCAGCTACTTGGGAGCTTGAGGCAGAGGACTTCTTGAACCCAGGAGGCGGAGGTTGCAGTGAGCCGAGATCATGCCACTGTACTCCAGTCTAGGTGACAGAGTGAGACTCCATCTAAAAAAAAGGAAAAGAAGACTATATTTGGGCAAAGATTTGAAGGAGATGAGAAAGTAAGCTTTGTGGATATCTGAGAGAAAATATTCCAGACAGAAGGAACAACACGTGCAAGGTGTTGTGGTGGGAGCACATCTGGGCAGTGCTGCGGAACAGCAAGGAAATGACAGTGGCCGGAGTGGAGTGGGGAATGGAAGGAGTAGTAAGAACTGAAGTCAGGCAGTCAACGAGAGACTGAAGTCAGGCAGTCAATGAGAAGGCCATTGCTGGGACTGATCTGAAGGCCTTGAGCAGAGAGGTGGCCCTGCCTACCGCACCAACCCCAGCTCCTCTGGTTCCTGCCCTGGTACACGGAATGCATGCTTATTGCTGTTTGAACACACTCAAATATTTCCCTTTTATGGCCTTCACACTTGCTCTTCCCTCTCCCTGGAATCCTCTTCCTCCCAGATCTTTATCCCATGCCTCACCCCATCACATTATTTATGCTTCTGCTCAATGGATCTTTTCTGACCACAGATTTGAAAATAGCACCTTACCTCCCTTCTGTGTTGATTAGGGTCCTACTAGGAAAACAGGAACTATGCTGTGCATTTTCATAAGATAAAGTTTAATACAAAGAACTGGCTACATGGGTGATTGAAAAGGCAGAGACTCCAACCAGGAGAGTGAGGCGACCCAGAGACTAGTAACCAAGACAAGTTGCGACTACCCCTAGGTTGGAGGGACAGAGAAGAGATTTTTTTCCAGGAACAAGGTCACTGTGTAGAAGTGACCTATTCAGCAATGGAGGCTTAAATGAGATGCAGTCACAGTGGAGGCAGAGGACAAGGTGGTGAAAAATCCTGGCAGGCTGCTTGATTCTGACTGCCAATCTCCTACCAGTTGCTCTGAATGGTTAAAGTCCACCAGCTAACAGGAGCCTGGGAAATGCAGCCTGCAGAGATCAGCTCCCCAACAATTCAGAGCCAAGCAGGAGGAGCTCTGGAAGCAAACGTGAGGAGCAGGACCTCACCCTGTCCTTACCCAGTTTTATTTTTCTTTAGGTCACTTATCCCTATTCCTATTCCATTCTATTTTGTTCTACTCTAATATGCTCTGTTTAGTTCTTTTCTATTCTAGTGTTTCTATTCTACTCTCTTCTATTCTATTTTACTGTTTCTATTCATTTGTTCTCTTCTCTTCTATTTTTTACTTGTTTGCTGTCTGTCTCTTCCACTAGGAATGAACTGCACAAAAGTAGAGACTGTTCACCAGTGTAACCCAAGTAGCTAGAACAGTGGTTGGAATATTACAGGTGCCAAATAATTATTTGTTGAGTGAATTAATGAATAAATTTGCTTGCTGTTAAGATTCAAGAGGGCAGGAAATATATATACTGTGTTCATTATGATACACCCAGTGTCTACCACAGTACCTGGTCGGCATGTGTATTAGTTTCCTAGAGCTGTTGTAAAAAATTACCACAAACTTTGTGGCATAAGGCAACATACATTTATTCTCGTAGTTCTGGAGATCAGAGGTTTGAAATTAAGATGTCAGCAGGGCCACACTCCCTCTGAAGGCTTCAAGGGAGAATCTGCTCTTTCTGCTTCTGATAGTTCCAGGTATTCCTTGGCTTATGGCTGCATCACTGCAATCTCTGCCTCTGTCTTCAGTGGCCTTCTCTTGCGTGTGTTTCTTATAAGGACATTTGCCTTTGGATTTAAGGCCCATCAGATAATCAAGGACCCTGAGATCCTTAACTTGATTACATCTTCAAAATTCTGTTTTCCAAATAAGGTCACATTCACGGGTTCTGAGACGTGGGCATAACTTTTGGGGCGGGAGAAGCAACTATTTAACCTGCTACAGAACTTAAGAAATGCTTGCTGGCTGACTGGCTAGACTGACTAGTTTCCCTGGGTCTACTTTTGCCCCTGCCCAATCCATCTTCCACAATGCCACTAACCTGACCTTTCTAATTAGAAAAAGGCTTCTTTTCTTTTTTGTTTTCTTTTTTTTTTTTAAATCATAACTTCCTACTTGGAAGTTTGAAAAAACTTCTGTGTTTTTCCATCCTAGGGGGAAAAATTCATACTTCTTAGCTCAGCTACAAGATCTTCCATCTGTTGTTCTCTGCTTCCCTATTCAAGTCTCTCTTCTCCCACTCTCCCCACTTTTCACTTTGTGCTCCAACCACATGGGTGACCAGGGTCCTCTGTACGTTTGTGAAGTATATGCAGTTTCTTCTTCCTCAAATAATTTCCTATCCTTTGACTGTTTGGCAAACGCCTATTCATCCTTCAAGTCTCAACCAAAATGTCTCTTCTATGCTGCCATCCCTGCACACTGACCCCACACCCCTATCTAGAATCCTAATATGTAGATGCTCATTTGATATTTGTTTGAATAAGTAAATGAGCCCAAATGGGATGGGGGCTGAAAAGGGTAGGACCTGGATTGGGCTCAGGTCTGGAAGAAAAGGAAAATGGGAAAAGTCACACTTGGTATCTGGGACAGGTGCCAGGGACTGGTGGGATGCTGGGACTGGAAGCATTTGGCCTTTGAGTAATATGGCCTGAGATAGATGTGATGGGAGGCCTGCCTATGGGAGGTGGCGAGATGGCACAGGGGTGTGTGGTCTGTTGTTAGAGGACCAGCAGATGCAAGGCACAGGTGGGCTGTCATGCTATAGAATCTAGTCTTCTCGGGCCACAGTTCCCGGGATGGGATTAATTAACTCAACAGACCACCTTTGTTATGAGACCTGGGGACAGCTGTGGCCATGTCTGAAGGGGGACCCAGGAGCACAGGCAAAACAAAATGCAAAGCCCCGATGACCAGAGGCCTCTCTGGAGACCAGTGGGAGGGGGACGATAAACGGAGGAAACAGATGGGACCTATCCAGCTCTTGGGGATCAAAGAGCCCCCACAAACACCACTCCTTATGTCCACTGAGTAATGGTCTTTAGTTACCTAGGCACAGAGGGTCCTAAAGGAGAGGACTGTAGATCACTGAAGGGACTTGGTCGTGGGCGTCTGAGAGAGGCTCTGGTCTTTGGGAGTCAAGAGCTGTAGGTCCCGGTCATTGAATGACCTGATTGTGAAGCCAAGCCTAAGTGAGCTTGAATGAGGGGTTCTGGTCACTACAGAGCCTTAGAGAGAGGCCCTGGTCACTGCGTGCATGACCTAGGGGCCCTGGTCACTCGGGGGTGGGACTGGGGGCTACATGAGGGGCCCTGATTCCTGAGGAGACTGATCTAGAGGCTGTGGTCACTAAAGGACTTGAGCGGGGGGCTCTGGTGACTGAAGCCTGAATGAGGGGCTCTGGTCAGTGGGGGCTTAAGGGAAAGGCCACTTCTGTTATTCCTGAACTGAGGTGGGGAGGGCTTCTCAGTGCTCCTTGTCAGCTCAGCATTCTCCTGTGCCCTCCCAACCTGACCAGCATGGCTCGCAATAGCCAGCAGATGGCACTGTGGCCTCGCATGATGAGAAGTGGGCAGGCTGCAGGCAGTCCTTGGGGTGAATAAGCTCAGTGGAGACAAGCTCAGGTGCTGCCTCCAGCAGCTTTGGGAGCTGCAAGAATTTGGGAGGGGGTGTGGTAAGACAGACCTTGATCAAACTCTCTGGGGTGATGGCCCAAGGCAGACCCCCTGGAAGCAGAGAATGCTGTGCCATGGGTTAGAAGGCCTCAGTGTCTTCCATACCTCAGAAGGCAGGACGGGCTTGGTCAATAGCTCCAGAGCTCAGAACAAACTTTAATGCAAATGTGGCCCAACATACCCAGATACACTTTCACTCCAGGATGAATGCAGCTGTCCCTGTCACACCACAGATCCAAGACAAATTAAGATGTACCCTGAACATTAAGCTGTCATTTCCC